CCCCAAAACCCCAAAACCCCAAAACCCCAAAACCCCAAAACCCCAAAACCCCGTGTATAATTTCTCAGATTGATTTTTATAAATATTCTAAAACTAATATGTCTTGGTTCCTTCTCGCAACCCCACTTGGAAAGGGTTCTAGCCAAACTGACAAAGCAGCTTTCACTAAACTTCAGACTGAAGCAATTGGGTCTGGGGCAAAACAATTAGGAGAGCTATCTTATATCGCTCTTGATAGAAGCAAGTTCAAGATCGGAACTCTTGACCAACTTGTCAAGCTAAATGACGCCTTGGTTAAGGTCGACCACCACTTGGAGACAGTCGTCAAGAAAATCCAGAGACAATCTGAAGAAGTTTCTGAGAGTGTCAAGCTCAAAATTGAGACCTCTGATGCTACAGTGGAGCTTGAGGAATACGTTCAAGGATTCCAGTGGGATGACCAAAAGTATCCTAGATCTAGAGCTCTCTTTGATATTGCAACTATTATCTCTGAGAAGATGACTACAATTGATACAGATATGAAGAAACATATTGAAGAGTATTCCATTATGAAAAATCAACTCTTCCAGTTGAGAAAGAAGGATGAGGGGAACTTTAATAATAGAGACCCAGGAGACATCATTTATGGCAAGGTCGGCCCTGAGCACTTCATCCATGATTCAAAGTTCTTAAGAAATGTTTTGGTAATTGTACCCAAGAATAAGATTGAGTATTTCGAAACTAATTACGAGTCAGTCAAGGAAGGTGTAGTCCCAAGAAGTGCCAGACATCTTAAAGGTCTAGAGGATAAGGATGGAAGCCAGGTCTACAGAATTGTTGTTATGGAAAACTCAGTAGACTCATTCGTACTCAAGTGTAAGCAAACTATCGGATGTGTTGCAAAAGTTTTCATTTATGACGAAGAAGGATATCTAAGAGATATTGAGGAAGCGAAAGAAATTGAGGCAAAACTTAATAAAATGACTGGTAAATTGGAAAAGAGATGCTATTACACCTTCAGTGAATTGTTCATGGCATCTATGCACTTGAAAGTAATGAGAGCTTATATTGACGGTGTTCTCAGATTCGGAATTCCTCCAAAGTTTATCACAACTGTTGTTCACACAAAATCTGGAAATACAAAGAAGCTTCTAAGTTCCTTGACAGATCTATTTGCTGAAGCTAAGATGAGAGAAATGTATGGAACTAAGGATGAAATTGGTGATACAGAGGATTTCTTCCCATTTGTCTATATCCCTATCACCATAATGAATTTTGATAAGTAAATCATCGGTTGACATTAAGGGGTTATTCAATGGTTAAAATTTTATACGGGGTTTTGGGGTTTTGGGGTTTTGGGGTTTTGGGGTTTTGGGGTTTTGGGG